TTCTATTTTTTAATTTTTGTTCATTCGTACATTGTAGGTATACTATATCAATTTTTTAATTATGTAATAATTTATAAATAACCTATATTAGAACCAATAAGGACATTGATATGCATTATTTACATTTGTTTTTATTGAATAGAGATGCCTAAAATTAATAAAGGTACCATGAGAAATTCATCAAAAGTTTCATCGCGTACTCGTAGGAGAATTATTCAAGTTCAAAATCAAGATGCAAAAATGGCCAATAATTTAGTTCAGACCTCCTCTGCAGACAACTCATCTAGATCACCTCTTAATACAACACATGCTCCTGCAAACTCATTTATACTTCCTGACAACACTGAAACACAATTTTCTAACAATAATTTATTTGTTTCTGATAATACTGTTGAAATACAAGTTTCTAACAACAACTTTTTTCCTTCGGATAATCATCATGTCATTGACGGGTCTACTGCTACATCTCAACTATTTTCATCAAATTTTGAAAAACTCATAAATGTTAATAATAAAAATGTTTCTATTCAATCTGAATTGACAGAATGGGCAGTTAAATGTAAAATAGCACAATGTCATTTAAATGAGTTATTACTTATTCTAAGAAAGCATAATGGTTTTGGAGAGCTTCCCAAAGACTCAAGAACTCTTCTTCAAACTCCTAAAATCAACACTGACCAAATTCGCCTTGTCAATCCAAATGGAAAATATTTTCATTTTGGCTTAACTAATTATTTACTTACTTATTTTTCAAATCTAAATTATATTCCAAATGAAATACAATTAGTTATTGGTGTTGATGGACTTCCGATATCCCATAGTAGTAACAGTCAACTTTGGCCAATTCTGGCATATGTTAAACCCAATAATTACATACAAGAAAAAAAGGTATTTCCTATTGGCCTATTTAGGGGTAAAAGCAAACCAACAGATAGCAATGAATTTCTGTATGATTTCATAGTTGAAGCTAAAATATTATTAACTGATGGCATTAAAATAAACCAAATAAATCAGCCAATCCCTGTAAGCATTTTTGCTATATGTTGTGATGCACCTGCTAAGTCATTTTTGACAAAAACAAAAGGGCATACCGGATTCGCTTCTTGTTCAAAATGTACACAAGAAGGTGTCCACTTGAGAAATCGCACTTGTTTCCCATACAAAGATAATTTTTCATATTTGAGAACTCATGATAGTTTTGTTTTAAGAACCCATGAAGAATATCATATTACAAATGTAAATACCATTCTTTTAGATTTGCCTAATTTTAATATTGTAGAAAAGTTTTCTTTAGATTATATGCATCTCACATGCTTAGGAGTTATGCGCAAACTTATTTTGCTATGGATGAAAGGACCATTATCAGTCCGTCTTCCAAGCTCTAAGATTAAATTAATTTCATCCAATTTACGGTCAATTAAAAATAATATTCCAGTTGAATTCTCTAGAAAACCCAG